TATTTCATTGTTGAAAATAAGTAAAAAAATATTTCCACATCAATTTTATATTAAAAGTTTAACATATATGCCAAATAAAAGGTTGAGACTAAAATAAATATATATCATTTAGTTGAAAATGAGTCAAAAAAGTGCCTTTACATATCAAAATTTTGATTAAAATGTAATAAATTAAGGCTAAAAGAGTAAAAAAAAAATGTATAAAATTGAGTTTTAGATGGATTGCTAATGATTTTTGAAATTTCACAGCCGCGACGTCTGATACTCAATACGTACCGGCCGATACTACCGATATCGATACTCCGCGATCGATACCGTTACGTTACCCAATACCGCAATTTAGAACTATGAGATGTAGTCTTCTATGAAGTTTTCAGGTGAGGGCATGTTTGGGTCTAGGGTTGGGACTATGGTGTGGTTATCTAAGTTAACCTTTGTTTGGACCAATTTCATTGCACCACCTTGTTTCTCATCCACTACCTGTGTTTGGTAAATTCAAATTATTATAATTTTGTAATTTTTTTATAAAAAAAATAAAAAATTAAGTGGACAGAATTATTTTACAAAAACCAATCACAAAATATACATAGTAATTTGTGTGAATTTTAAATTTGAAGAAACGCTGATTTCTTTTAAAATTTTGTTATCATTATACACAAAATAGAGAGTATGTTAATACATACACATCACACACCAGTCTTTTTAATTAGAACAAAAATGTTTTGGAGCTCTAATAATGGAGCTCTAATAGCTCTAATGGGGAGTGGGTCCCACTGTGATGGTGATGTTTGTATCTTGTGTGTGTGTGTGTGCATTTTTTTTTTTTTTTGAATTTCCATGTCATTAGAGCTCTTTGATTTAGAGGGATGTATCATTGTTGTAATTAGAAAGACGTTGTTTTGATCCCAAGTATTAGTATTTCTTTTTCTTTCTTTCTATTATTAATACAAATAATATAAAAATTAATCCCTAACCACGCAAAAAAAATAAAATAAATTGAATTTCCAAACTCAATTGTCCACAATCAACAATTTCAATTATAAAACTTTTGAATAATTAGTTTTTTTTTTTTAATTTTTACGAAAGAGATATATTCCTAGTTTTCTATTAAATATTTTTAAATGGAATAAAATGGCCTTTCTTAAACACAAAAAACAAAAACAAAAAGAAAAAAAGAAAAGAAGAGAGTAATTTGAAATCATGTGTTTCAAAATAAACTATTACTAATTTAATATATGCATATACATGTTTGTTTCTATGCTAAGGTGTTCACTTTTGAGAGAGCTGACATCAAACATTTCCACGTTTCATGCATGCAATAACTTGGAGAAGTCTTTGGAGACCTATCTAAAATATCAAAATGAAATATAGTTTGAAAAAATGGGACCCTTTTTACAATAATGTTTTTAAAATTTTTCTCCCATGGGCTTAGATTATGGGCCTTAATAATTTAAGTGGTCTAATGATTGAATCGCCTCTGTCTCTTTAATGATTGAATCGCTTCTGTCTCTTTTAACCTGTATAGTGTCCATTGAGAGATTAATCAATATTGGTTACAGTGTAAAAAAGAGTTCATAATGATTGATTTGATTGTATCCATTGTGAATTAATAGTATTATTGTAAATCAACTTGTGTATATACATATAATTAAAAGTTGATAATTAGAAAACCGAAGTCAAAAATAATCCTTTCATAGCATTATTAAAAGGCTAAAACTCAATACGTATATATTAAAATATCTAATTCAAAATCAATTGAGTATATATTGAAATATCTAATTCAAAATCAATTGATAATAAATGGTGTGAACTTTACATTACATCAATTAAATTTGAATAGATTGACAACGTAAATTAAGTCTAACAGATCAATAGTACTATATAAAATTATGATACTCAGGGGCATACGAGTGTGTGTTTCATTTGTGATTTATTTCTGTGTTAGCATAACTTATCTACATTCATACCTGCAAGCTAGAGAAACGAGTGCTTCAAGCTCTCCTTCACAACATCTGGGTATATCCTAGTCTTGCATCCCATGATAGCTATGATGTAGATGTTGAAGCTCGGCTCGTGAAACGAACGCGCCCCCGAACTCAATGGCTCTTCCACCTCCACCTCCACCTCCACCTTGTTGCGGCCACCGCCACCGCCACCGCCGTTATCGATCTCTGGTTTTGTGTTTCTTACAATGGGTTTGAGAGCTTGTTTTCTCCACCTTAGGCCTTTCACTGAATCCATCACACCTGAGCTTCACTGTCTAGCAAGGGCCAAAATGTAATAATCTCTGGAAGTTGGGGTTTTTTGGGGAAGTTATCGGGATTTCGGAGGAGCTTCTATATGCACACACCATATTCCTTCTTCCCACACACTTAATGAGATGGTGTGTTGGGAAGTTGTGTATGAAGGACGTGTATAAAGAGAGAGTAGTGTGTGTAAATAGATGCTCCCGGATTTCGGTGAAGCAAAAATAAAAGCTGAAGGCAAAAGCTTTGTCGACTAAAATGGGAACTTTGTTCTTATTTATAATGTGCATTTTGCAGAATTGCCCCTGGATTTCGTGCTAACTACTATAAAGGCGACGAACCTTAGAGGAAGTTAATAATTTGCCCTAGCATTGTTATTATAAAAAGCCCTTCCCCTTAACTCAAAAAAATAAATAAATAAAAATAAAAATTGTGTAAGAAAAAAATATAAATGAAATATAAGGTTTTTTTTTTTCACATTTTCGTTTTCTTTTTTTTTTTTTACCTCTTCATACATTCTTATATAAATTTATGATTTAAACAGAGTAATCATATAAATGAATGGCTCGAAACCACACCTCTTCTTATAATTATATAAGTAACAATAATTAGCAATACAACGTACTCAAAAAAGTAAAATCACAATCATTTAGGTATGGTATACATCTCATTTACTTTAAACCTACGCCATATATTTTTGTGATAAATTTTCATAATTGATAACATTTTCCAACAACAATAAAAGGGGGTTGAGTTCTCACAACTCGTACAGGCCAACCTAACTTTGCTAGGCCACCATTGTTGAAGAAGATGAGGACAATCCTTCACAATCAATCATCCACAAGGGTACAACAACTGTCCACCGTTCATTATCATTTGAGATATATGAGATGGATCAGCTCTCTCCCCCATAACGTCACGTGAACCTCTCATGTCCTATATCAGCCATTGGATTAAACTACTACCGAGATTGTGAAGTCTAACCCATCTGATTTAGACTAATCAGTTTGATTGTTCACATACTAGGAATTATCATGTGCTTCATTAACATCACAAACCATTCTAAAGACAAATACCTCCCAAAAAGAAGGAAATTTTTTTTGAGGATTTAAGTCAATTAAGCTGGATTTGGATCTTGAATTTGAATAGAATTATTATAAACAAGTGGGTCGAGCAATTGTTCAAGTTTAACCTAAAAATTTAAAGAGTTTACATTTACCTTTCGAGCCGATCTCAAATAAATTTTAATTGAATCTATCACGAGTAAGCTGCAAATACACTACAAGAAAATACATCTTTGGCGACTAAATTTTTAGTCGCCAAAGGTCCTTTTTTAGTCGCCAAAGGTCGAATTTTCACTTTTCCCGACAAAAACTTTTAGTCGCCACTGTTGTCGCGAATTCATGGTCGCCCATTCCTTTGGCGACTAAAAACCTGTTAGTCGCCAATTCACAGGTCTTCAGCGACGAATTTTTTTGTCGCCAAATGCAATTTCATTTTTTGAAATCATACATTTAGCGACTAAATTTTTAGTCGCCAATAGTGATTTTTTTTTATTATTATTTAAACATTTCCCGACTAAGATTTTCGTCGCCAAAAGGTATACCTTTCGGCGACCAACGCCTTTAGTCGCCAAAACCATATTTCAAAAAAAAAAATATTGCCTCTGTTGGATGTCCCAAGGTTCGAACCTGTGTTCCCAACTTGCACCCCACTACGACTTCCCAAGGCTTGCTCCCCCCACTACGCCACTCCCAATTCATATGAATATTATTGCAACAAATATTATTTATATACTATATTCACTGGCATTAATACAAAATTGTATATATGAAAATAATTTTTTTTATTTAATATATTTTATGTAAAAAATAAAATATTTACAAAAAAAAATAGGGTAAGCACTTTTGGCGACTAAAGTCAGTTTTAGTCGGCAAAACCTCTCCTTTTAGCTACTAATTTTTTTTTAGTAGCCAAAAACAGCACTTTTGGCGACTAAAGTCGGGTTTAGTAGCCAAAACTCCTCCTTTTAGCTACTAATTTTTTTTTAGTAGCCAAAAACAGCACTTTTGGCGACTAAAGTCGGGTTTAGTAGCCAAAACTCCTCCTTTTAGCTACTAATTTTTTTTAGTAGCCAAAAACAGCACTTTTGGCGACTAAAGTCGGGTTTAGTCGGCAAAACCCCTCCTTTTAGCTACTAATTTTTTTTAGTAGCAAAAAATCTGCACTTTTGGCGACTAAACTGAATTTTAGTCGCCAAAACCCTTACTTTTGGCTACGAAATTGATTTTAGTCGCCAATAACTATGCATTTGGCTACTAAATTGTCTTAGTCGCCAAAAGTGAACACTTTTGGCGACTAATTCCATTTTAGTCGCCGATTGTCCTACTTTCAGCGACGAAAATTCATTTTTTAGTCGCCAAAGCTGGATTTTCTTGTAGTGATAGTTTGATTTTTTATTATAACCAAATTGAGTAAAGTAGTAGATTGTTCAAAATTGTGTTGAAAATTTCATGAGTTTAAGAATGTATTCAGTTTCGGCTTGTTTACATGACAAGTTAACCTCAAATAAACTTTTAATGAGACAAATACAAGTTGAAATCAAGTAGTTTGGTTCCATTTATGGCCCCAGATTTAAGTATGAATTTATAAGGGAAACGAAGAAAGAAAAACAGACAAAAATATATAAAAGAAAAAGGAACGCACAACCAAACTTGTATCACATGCAATCACTTCTACATAGGAAGGCAAAAGTGGTCAATTAGGGAACCCTCAATTTGGGGCCCTGGCAGAAATTTATTTCAAATATAAATAAATATTTGATGCATTCTACAAGAATACCCAGTAATGAAAATTTGGCTCAAATATGCAAAAATCAATATAAGATCATGAATACAATAGAATGAAATATCAATCTTTCAGAAGAGTCCGGGAAAGGCAAGGCAAATAAGGCATCAGACCTTCCCTTGCACTTTTTATGTATATAAAGAATAATTAGAGATGGCACGTACACATAATTCATGCACACAAACATATCAAGAAAAATTATTGTGTGATCTAAATTCATTCTAAATGTGAACTCACAATATATGAGTTGAATCTAAACCACACAATATTTTTCTGGGTATTTTTTTGTTCACAAATTATGTGCACACATCTTTACTAAAGAATAATATAATGAATCAAAGAATCACAGTCCTCATGACACTAACTCCTATTTACTAATACTAGAAAAGGGGAGAAAAAATAGATCACCTCCCTCTTACTTGGACCAAGCAACTGCTTCGATCTCTGATTGAGCAGCTCTGTATAACTCGAGCCTCTTCGCAAGGTTAACACGCCGTTGCATTATTGCTGGATCCTCATCCAACAACTTGCCCAACTGTTTAACCTGCAAAACAAGTTGAAAAGATAAATAAACACCATTTGGAATCTTTTTTCTTATTTTTTTCCTTTTGTTTCCCCATGAAGTTTGGAAATTTTGAATCTCTTAAATTTGAAATTTTAAATAGTTAACAGAACTTAAATCTTATCTTACATTAGCCTTTTTTTATTTATTCATCTCATGAGAAAAGAAATATATATGTATATATTTTAGTTATTGTTCGATCTATATTTAAAATCTATTTTTTCTTCCTTTTGTTTTCCCATAAAGTAGGGCATTGGGAAGGAACCCTCACCTCCTTTGTACCCAACTCGGCAAAGAAGTGGTCAAGTAAGCTACGCTTGGCCTCACGAACTTGACAGTAGACAACGGATTTTGGAATGGAGTTCCTCAAACCCGCACAAACCATATTGACATAAGACAAGACAGTTGATCCTGTTTGAGAGAGCAATACAACCTTGATTAAAATCGACCCAACTAGAACAGCACGAATCAACCATTAAGCAGATTAAGTATAAAAACTACTGCAATTATTTAAGGAGTCGTTGCCACTTACCAATTCGTCTAAGGTATGCATCATTGTATCTATCAAATATTGAATTTGTTGGATTTCCACCCTTCTCAACATCTTGAGGAAGCTTCCGGAAGAAATCAATGGTCAGATAACTATACTCCATTTCTACTAGCTGTAGAGTTGCCTTCTTGCTTTCTTCCTTCATCCTTTCCAATGCCTCGCAGGCTGCATTTGCGACCTCCACTCTAAGGGTAGGATACTGCTTGAGTTCCTGCATAATATGAGACATTTCATAAATTTGATGAATGAAATTATTTACACATTCTCTCTCCCATCTAGTTTAGTTTATCATTATTTTCCTTCACATTTCATTACTGTTCAGCATAGGTCTTAAAAAGCTAAATCCGGAATGTCAAAATCTCATCCTATCCCTAATTACAGTATTACCCTCTGTATAATAAGAGCAAATGACGAAACACAATATAATGGGGACAGTTTGGGAACTTGCCATAGTCTCACCGATTGACTTGTGAACCAGTTCCTTCAGGATGGCATGAACCTGTAATCATTGTGAAAAATGGTATCAAGCAAAGTAACTTGGAGACTAATATTGAGGGACCCGATTATGGAAAATGGAAAATGTTAGATAAAAATTTAGTCCATCGCATACTATTCCTTGAAAATTTAATAAATGTTTGCGTCTAAATAGTTCAAAATATGTTTTGCCTCTAAATGGTTTAACATAGTTTTTCTTCAATAAAGAGAAAATACAAATGGGCCAAAGGCAATGCATCAGCAACAAGAAAGCATGGTGCAATCACCAAATGCATGAAATATCAGTGTAAACAAACAAATGTATATTTCAATACATACAGCATCAACAGCTGCCTCAGCAGGACCTTTAATGGTAACTAAGGTAGATTCAATAAGACGGCGATATCCTTGTTCAGGAGCTATTAAATGAGGCTGATATCCATCAGCTTCGGTAATTAGCTTTCGTACGTTATCCAATGAAAGATGCTTGTCAAATTGCAACCTTTTCAAAGCAGCAGGAAGTTGACTATCAAATATACTGTAGATTTTATCACCACCTGCACGTCTGCATAAATCAATGATCATTATGAACAAAGATACGACAAAAATCAACATTGCAAATGTAAGTAATAATGCTCAATAATTTATAGAGTACTTCAGTGTACATACGTGCCATCGAGATGTTCTTTGAATATTCCATCAAAAACACGGCAGATTTCCATAGTCATGTACAGTTTTCCCTGCATAAGCAAGAGAACAAATATCATAAAACTGTTGCCCTGAAAGTGGTCTCACCTTGATACATTAAGCAGACAGAAAAAAAAAAATTGGAAAAAAAATAAGTATAAAAGAGTCCATACTCCAGCATCAGTGGCAACTGGCTTCCCAAGACGGCTCAACTCAGTTTCTAGTTCAATGATGGATTTGCTAATGAGAGACTGAAGGCCTGGGATTCGAGACTTGATAACATGTTCCAAATGCTGAATTTAGACATGAATGATCACCACAGTTAGAATGAGGAAAAATTAAAAAATTTAAAAAGCTAAAAATAAATAAATAAATGAAACATATGAATTCAAACCTCCCTACTTGAAAGAAATATAGCATCAATGACACTAACTTACGTACAAAACTTGTTTAAAACACTAGAAGAAGAATCAAAAGTGTACTTACTTTTGAAAGTACTTTTCCTAAATGCTCAGAACCCATTCTGTGAGAAAGATGCTGGTACTCTGGGGTACTGGAAAAGTACTCCCGCTCCCGACGCCGAGCAGAGATCATATCGGCGTTTTTATTAATATCAGCTTGAGACCGATTAACAACACCAATCCAAGGAAATTGTAACTTGTAAGATTTTCCTTCCAAGATCTGAAACTCACATAAATTAGTAATGCCTTTTCATGTTCACAATCAAATCCAAAGCAAGCCTTCACATTCAATAACATGAATTTAAGATGAAACTAAATCATCCAATCTGTCAAAACTAATTTGCAACATAAGAATATAGCAGTTTTAAAATATTGCCACATTTAAGGAAAGGTAAGTAGCACATAAAAAAAGTGGGTAAAAATGCAACAGGCATGAGAGCGGGGAAATTCTATCCTTAGCTTGAACATTCATGTGGGAGGTATTAAAATCATGGGAAATATATTATTACTGAACAGTGACAGTATTTTGGAACCTTCTGCATTATCAAACTCATAAAAAATGCACTCACTGCCTCAATGCATGAAGAGGGGGTGGAAACCAAGCACATGACTAGAGCATGGAGATCTTACCCACCAAACGCAGACAGATACGCACAAATGAAGAGGGAGATGAAATGACAGATATCTTCTTCTTCACAAAAGGAGAAGATATTATGGGGCATTATTTCCTTGTGATTTTATTTTTCAGTAAAATGGTGTAGTTCAAAGTGCTCAAACCTATGCAACTTGAAGTAGAGAAACATTTCATTTACTACTGTTGCAAATAATTAGCTGTCTATCACTGCAACTTCAAACAACATAAATGATGGCAGTCACTTACTGATGATGCATCACAAAAGTCACTAAATTATCTTCAAGGTAAAACTACAAAAGCCCTTCATAAACTTCAAGATGACAAAACTAAGCAAACAAGATAACACTTGATCACATCGCCAATAATATATCATATGGTAAACATATCCAAACACTCTTCACATTTTCATAATTGTGCTGGACTTTCAAGCATTCATGCACACTATTCCCCAAATAGGAGGCTTCATGTTTATAATTGAAATTGCTAAATTCTAAACTTAAATGCTGAAACGTTGTCAAATCATTCTACTTATACAATCTGAAAGAAAGCTTACTTCAACTGCATCAGTACCCTTGTCCATAAGATCAATCTTTGTTAAAACCCCAAACGTCCTCTCCCCTAAAAAATATGACATCCACAGAACTGATATTCAGAATATGTGTTACAGGAGGGCAGATATAAGTCTGATGTACAGAAGATTGATGTGATCAAGCAAACTTGTAAAATTACAGGCAGGCAAGCATGCATTTGCACAAGCACTCAAATCACACATGCAGACACAGATACTGAATTTTACATTACAGTACATATAGTTCAAAATATACAGAACAAAACTAAGAAAATAAAAAAAGCCCTAGTAATTTTTGTTATCTTTGTGACCTCAGCGATCTTAACAATTATTTTCTATATAAATTGAACTTCATATTTTCTTTCTTTCTTTTTCTCAAGTAAGCTTCTCCATAGTATGCAAGAGCACCACAGCCAGCATTAAAAACATTGTGATATAGGTGAGCCTTGTCTGGTAATAACATTTCCCTCCATATATGCCAAGCTAGTGACAACAGCTACCTTTTGAACTAAATTTTAGTGCACCTCCTGGTTATTTAAATTTTACGTTTCTATCATCATATTGTAGCGAGTTATTGGACCCTACAGAATAGGCAGGCATAAGTCAGTCCATAAAATTGCCAAAAATTGCATCAGATGAAAAATCTTACCTTTGGGATCTACTTCACGAGAAATTTTAATTGCATCAGATGTAGCAAGATCTTGATTGGCAGGAGAAATTGCCAGAATAATACAGTTGGGCTGCAAGGTATGAGACAACGACAGACCAATAAAATACGTCATCTCATGCAAGTAGATTCCGCACAAAGCATCATGAACAACTGAGAAGCAAGCATCCAGAAAAAACCAGCAAGGAATAAATAACGTCATAACATATGCCACATATCAAGAATGGCTGTCATTTGTTTAAATCTAAGAAGCACAGACACGACATCATCACAAATTTCAAAAATTGCAAGATGCACACCACTTGGGCGACATCATGCATAAAATATATAGTTTTGTATAGTTATTAGATGTCATATATATGAATACTTCATTCAAATATATATTTTATAAAAAATAAAATAAAAATTACAAAATAACACTAATTTTTAAGGTTTAAAAGAAGAATTAATAGGTATAAATCTATATTATTTTTCTTTTATCATTAGATCCTAAGTTATTTTATTCAAACTTGTAATAGGTGTGTGTCTAAGCGATGGAACACGTTTCCCTCAAGAGTCCAAAGAGTTCAGTTAAAAATAATACATTTTTGGACATATGACTAACGTGTGTCGGGAAGTATCCAATGAGCGTTGGTGTCCGACATAAACACTACACCTTAGAAGTGCCTGTGCTTCTTTGCCATATATACCAAGATCATAAACAGTAAATTTTCACATTATTGCTACAACTTTTGAGCTTCACTAAATTCTCTTGGAGAATTGCAGTGTTTCCCAAAACATACAGAAGAGATTCAGGAAAAACTAAATAAATATTTGCATTGAGTTAGGTACTCCCCATAATAAAAAAAAATCAGAATTTGAATAGTAATTACCTTCTCAATATAGGACTGGACCATATTCTCAATGTCTTGCACAATGCTTTCAGATTGGCCATCTACAATGATCAAAACAATCAGAATAATAACAAGAAAAGACATGCAAACATTGAGATTTGCTATCTCACCAATAGCTACTTTTGTAAGTCCAGGAAGATCAATCAGTGTCAGGTTCACAACTGCAAAGCCACACAAACATAATAATGAAATGAAGAAATTACAGCTACCACATTTAGCAACTAAAAGAAAATCCAAAGTAAATGCCACATTCTGTGCAAGAGAATAAGGGAAAGAAAAGCAAAGCAAAAGGGAGGTTTTGATGCACACACTGCACAGTCATTTGATAACTATGAAAGGAGAGATAATAGCTTAGAAGTGCATAACAATTTGTTAAAGCCCTATCTTCAATATCAAACAAATTCAGTAAGTGGAGCACAACTTTTAATAACCAACTATTTTTTTAGTCCAAATTGTGAATCAGAAAACAGGGTTGACAAAAGCTTAATACCAAAATCAAGCTAAGTCTTGTGTGCCAATCAGGTGTGGTCGACCGACATGTAAACAAACTTCATTTTAATAAATCAAGGGGAAAAAGTCAAGTGCAGAAAGAGTAAGATAGTGTGGCAAGCAGTGCTCTATCTCACCATTGGGGGAATATATACTAAGATAAATTGGAACAGTTGAAATTTGTCTTGAACGGCCAGTCTCTCGATCAGTCTCATCAGCGATCTCCTTCCTCACAGCAGCTGCACAAGATACAACCAAGGATTTAGCATCTGAGATCTAAAAGATAGAAAATCAATGGTACATATACAAGATCAGAACTACCAGATAAATGCATAGCAATCGTTAGGACTAAATCTAGACAAAGATATCAATACCTCTTGATAAAATCAAGGTAAACACTAAATACAAGGCTATTTAACAAGAGAAAAAGAATAATCATAACTGGGTAGCAACAACACAAGTCATTTTCCGGAAAAATATCACTTCTGCGACAAGAAATATACCAAAATCAGTAAACTTCTTTTTTGGAAGGTGCATGAATTCTGCATATTCTCTTCCTTCATCAATCCTATGAAGTTGTAGGACAAGAGGACGTCTGGTAACAATTCCTGCATATAACAGTTACACATTATTTCTAGAGTTCAAAGGATTTTATAAGTTAATGAAAATCTTAAATTATATATACTACAACCATGTTGTAACATTAGAAAAAATGTGGAAGCATTATTACCAGATCCACGAGGCAAAAAGTCCTTTCCAACAACACTCTCCAACACTGAAGATTTCCCAGAGCTCTACAAATCATTAAAGAGATGGGATGATAAATGTACAACATATGAAAGACAAGATGAAATGATAATTAATGTGCAAGAACCCTCTATTGGCATCCTGAGGCCATTTGCCAAATGAATTTTTGTATATCCCTAAATTACCCAAAATACCCTCTTGTAATTGACTCGTGTAACTGACCTGCCTCCTGAAACTCATCAAATTCATATTCACATTCAAATCAAAATTTATATTTTGCAGATTTAACAACACGCACATCGGGTGGGCACATACCACTAGTATATAATTATATGTATATACACATATATCAATATTAGACTATCCAAACAAGGAATAGTGAACAATCACAGAGATTCAAATCACACAACTATGCAGAACCTGAACAAAACTTACATTACATCCAAGGAAATATCTAAAAGAACAAAGAAATTAATTAACGAATCTCTCAGCCATAAGAAGAAATACATTGCAAAAATTAACTACCCAAAAAAATAAATAAATGCAATGAATAACGGAAAAATAACTGGCACCTCAGCTTGGAGTAGGGATCAAATTGTGGGTATATAACTTTTTGTTATGATGAGGAATCAAAATCATATAAATTAAACGAGATATAGAAAGATATATATATATATATAGAGAGAGAGAGAGAGAGAGAGATGGAGATGATCTGGAGATGGGGAACCTGGCCACCGACGACGGCGATGGAAGGAAGGGCGTCCCAGAGAGTGGGCAATGCGCTCTCTTCGCCATGATCGCCGAGCGCTGTGCACGCTCTCTGTAATTTGTTCACCAGTGATATCAAGTTCTCCATTGTCGCTGAATAGGGTTTTCAGAAGCTGATGATTTCCAACTGTAGATCTTCACACGAGAGAGAGAGAGAGAGAGAGATTTCATACCCTGAGCGAACGTTTTAAGTCGAAGAACCGCGTGAGTGACGGTTGATTGGTTCGGTTTTTTAAAAGGGCAAATTACACTTTGCCCCTCTATCTTTGGTTATTTTTTAGATAAATTATCTATCTTCTATACTATTATTATTATTTATTATTTATTTATTATTATTATAGAGTGAACACCTCTTATGGTGTCCTGAAGGTTTTTATTTTTTTAAAAAAAAGTTAAACAAAGAGATGGGCAAGACTTGAACCCATGACCATGGGTTTAAGTATGAGGACTCATACCACTTAAGCTAAGTACACATTATAATACTAATTTCATTATTATTTTCTTTTATTCCTATTTATTTAAGTACACATTATAATATTAATTTCATTTTTATTTTCTTTTATTCCTATTTATTTAAATTGCACACACATCGTGTGTGCCACCCACTGTATCTATACTATTATTAAAAGCCAACAATCACTTTGGAGTCTTGAAGCCATACTCTCACAATTTTTTTCTAATTTTCCTAAAATAGCCTTAAACTTTTTCAATAATTATACTATTTTAAAACTAATATCAATTTATAATTAAGGATAAAATCATAAATTACTAAACTCACAAAATAGAACTACCCACATTAAATAACTTCCCACGTTGAAAACTCCCATCTTTCACAAGCATTTCACCATCACGAATTTCTTTCTATAAGGTAACTCCTATCTTCTTTGTTTTCATAGGCATACACATATGTATCTATCAATCATATATATTATTATATATTCCAAATATTCCAAATTGCTGATTTGTGGTGGGAGTTCGTACCCACCCAAGGGAATGAGATTATGCAAGGTTTAGGCTGATTGCGGACAAATGTGGGGCGGTTTTGACGTACGGTATGGCTTACATCATTTGTGTTTTGATGCGTGTTTTGATGCGATTGTTTGCGAGGTGCATGCTTTTAATCTCTTTGTATCATGTATGTATAAATTATATATACACATATGTATCTATCAATCATATATATTATTATATATTCCAAATATTCCAAATTGCTGATTTGTGGTGGGAGTTCGTACCCACCCAAGGGAATGAGATTATGCAAGGTTTAGGCTGATTGCGGATAAATGTGGGGCGATTTTGACGTACGGTATAGCTCACATCATTTGTGTTTTGATGCGATTGTTTGCGAGGTGCATGCTTTTAATCTCTTTGTATCATGTATGTATAAATTATATATACACATATGTATCTATCAATCATATATATTATTATATATTCCAAATATTCCAAATTGCTGATTTGTGGTGGGAGTTCGTACCCACCCAAGGGAATGAGATTATGCAAGGTTTAGGCTGATTGCGGATAAATGTGGGGCGATTTTGACGTACGGTATAGCGCTTTTGTTGGTTTTTTGTGTATAAATTCAGTTTTTAAAATTTTGATTTGTTTGTTCATATAAAATGAGTGTCTTGTGTTTTTTTTTGTGTGTGAGTGATACTGTTAGTTATACTTTCTGTATATATAAAAAAAAAAATTAGCAAAATGAAATGTTTCATTGTGTTATTAGGAAAATTAGCAAAGTGAAATGTTTCATTGTGTTATTAGGTTAAAAAAAAAAAATTTGATTATTATTTTTCTTCCTTTATATCAACCTTTGTTTTTGTATGCTTATAATTTATGTTTTCAGAAAAAATTGGTTTGTTTGTTTGCACAATTTTGTGTGCGTTTTTTTAAAAACAATTCAATATTCATAAAATTTCTTTTATTTAAAAAAAATAATATTCTTAAATTTTTTAAATAAAGTTTTTAGATTTTTATTATTTTTATTAATAGTTAATTATTTTTTGTGTATATCAAATCTTTTTTACTGTAAGTGTTCCAAGAGTATAGATTTGTGTTTTGGTATTTTATGTGTACCATTATTAATTACAATTTATTTATTTTCTTCATTAAAAAGCATAAGATAAAAAAACTATTTTATTAGATTTCTTTGAGAAAAAATGACTATTATTGTCCTTCACTTATATTTTTTGCCGATTGCTTTATGACATTGTGTTGTTAAGAATAAACAACTTTCGGTTGATTCTCTATCGACACCTATTTGTTTTGACTATAAGCATTCTATATGAGTTTTGGGTTTATAATGCTTGAAACTTGAATAATTGTAAAATAATTCTATTTGGGCTTAAACAAAGATGTAATTTCTTTTTCTAAGCTTAAAAAAATCAAATTTGTAATTTCTTCTTTTTTTTTTATTTATGTTTACTTAATGAGTTTGTGATGGTCAGAACAAATAACTTCTACAACTGTGTTTTAAATTTTTTGGGTGTATTTAAAAAATTTAGTGTGCTTCAGTGTTCTTAAATTTTACATAATTGTAAGTGTACTTTTTGTATTTTTGTATTTTTTTGTGTATTGCTGTTAATTATACTTTTTATAGAAAATAAAAAGATCCATTATATGTCATATCAGGTTCGTTCGAAAAAATAAAAAATAAAAAAATTGTGAAGCATAAAATATGTGCAATTATTTAGACTTACACTTAAAAAGTTTGGGATTTTTTTCCCATTTGATTTGGACTGTACCAATCTATGTCAAAATGTAAGTTTTTAATTTGTTAGTTTCATTTATAAAAAACTTCAATAATATTTACATTTTGTTTCTTTATCTATTCTATTATTAAAAGGCAGCACCAATTTTGGTGTCATGAAGCCTCTATCATGTCCACGTGTAATTTAGGTGATTTGACCCAAAAAAAAAAAAAAAAAAAAAACACATCTCATGCTTTCCACTTTGTCCCTCAATCAACTACCCAATACTCAGTTGTGCAAAAAAACTATCCAATACTCAATTTCCTCTCTCTCTCTTTCTCTCTCGTTCTCACATTTCTTGGCTCAAAGTTTTCTCTCTCTACCACTCCCATGGCCACTGTATCCCCCAAAGCTCACTTCCAGAGTCCTTTTCCTTCCTTCGCTGCTGCATTGTCGGAAACTACCGCTATTGTTGCCGTTGCTAGAATCACCATCGCAAACCTCTTTTCTCGCCGCCCGCAAAACCTTCTCGATTGATCTGAGATCTCTCTCCCCCTCTTGCCGTGATCGAAGCAGAAGCTTGATCATATGTTTACTCTTCTACGACGAACAAGTTGCTTCAATTGAGAAGGCTTTCGAGAGCTCTCAAACCTCACCTTCCTTCTTCCTCAATTCAAAGATCATATGTCTATTCTTCTACGGACCTTCCGGAAGCTTCGAACAGTGCTTGCAGTCCTCATTTTTCTTAGTTACACAGGCTTTAAGAGATGGCCATTTCATTTTGAAAGTCTGTTCAAATTCATACAATGTTGATTTCATTTATTGTCTTTGGTGTCCATTGCTTTTAAGGGTTTTTTTTTTTTTTTTTGGTTTTGGCTAGGTTGTTTTAATTTTAATTTTTTTTTTATTTTATGAATCTCTTTGATTGTAAATGTATTAATGGGTTTGTATTTTTGTATTTTGTGTGTACTAATTTAATTATACTTTTTATTTTTTTCATTAAAAAATAAAAAAAAGTTGAAAAGTTTCATTATATTATCAAGTTCTAAGGGAGAAAATTTGATTATTATTTTACTTGGTTTATATATAAAAAAAAAAATCAACATAATTGTTTATATATATATATATATATATTGTGTATATCAAATTTATTTGACTATGAATATTCTAAGAATCTTGAATTTATAATTTTTAAAAAGAGTATTATTTTTTTGAGAATTATTATTTTATTTTGTTTATATCAAAACTTAAGTGTTCTTTATTTATTTTTTTAATAAATTTGTGATGTATATTTATTTTTTAAAAAAATAATATTATGTATTTTTTAATTTTACATTTCATAAATTTGTCAAACAATCGACTTACAAGGAACTGAGATATTTTGCCTTAGTTTTATAGGCAACAAATGATACAAAAATTGAAAGCTTACAAAGATATGTGCAGCGCTATTACAATGTAATATACTTATAGGTTTGTATGTATAACAAAAGTTAGGTACTTTATTTTTTTGTCAATTCCATCTTATTTTTTGTAGTTTGATGTTGTCATAGATCTATGACAAAAATTACATCAAGACAATTTGAAGAGATTGTTGGACGTGACGTGTAATTTGGACTATGTCAATATGTCAAAATGTAAGTTTTTAATTTTGTTTATAAAAAATTAACGCAATAATTACCTTTTGTGTCTTTATACATAATAAGTCAATTACAAAACCAAAGTTATTATTGTACTCTATTAGCTAAAGTACGCATATGTATAATTATGGCTCACTTTAAGAACGTAAGATTTTAATTTAATCAATGTATATTATTAGCAAACTAATTTTTACATATATCTTACATATTTTTTTGCAGGATTTGCAGGATCTCCAGTCTTATATTACCAAATTCAGATTTTATATGAATTTTTGTTATACAAATTTTTTAGTTAAGATTAGTAAATATTGTATTTTTTTTAAAGATTTGTACATCTTTTAATGTACGTGTATTTTATTTATCAAATACGTTAATATCAAATGTTACATTGTATATAGTTACTCATTTTATTTATACGTATATTATTAGAAAAAATAATATGAAATTCATATTATAATTCAAAAAGAAATTACACACGCATTGCGTGTGCCCGGCCGCTAGTATATAATAAGCCAATTACAAAGCCAAAGTTATTATTATACTTTATTAGTCAAAGTAACTTACTTATAGGTTTGTATATATAACAAAAGTTACATACTTCATTTTTTTGTCAATTCCATCTTATTTTTTTTAGTTTAATGTTGTCATAAATGTATATTCAAAATTGCATCAAAACAATTTGAAGAGATTGTTGAACGTGACGTTTGATTTGGACTATGTGATGATCTACGTCAAAATATAAGTTTTGAATTTTGAATTTCGTTTATAAAAATTTTTCACAATATTTACATTTTGTATCTTTATACATAATAAGCCAATTAGAAAACCAAAGTTATTATTGTACACTACTAGTTAAAGTACGCATGTGAACAATTTTGGCTCACTTTAAGGACGTAAAATTGTAATTTAATCAATGTACATTATTAGCAAACTAATTTTTACATATATCTTACATTTTTTTTTGGCAGCAATTGCAGGATCTTCAGCCTCATGTTACCAAATTAAGATTTTATATGAATTTTTGTTGTAAATTTTTTTTAGTTACGATGAGTAAATATTGTATTTTTTAAAAGATTTGTACATCTTTTAATGTACATGTATTTTATTTGTCAAATACGTTAATATCAAATGTTATATTGTACATAATTATTCATATGATTTATATGTATATTATTAGATAAAATAATATCAAAATCATATTATAATTTTAAACAAGTTTGCACACGCATCGCGTGTGCCCAGCCGCTAGTATATATATATATACACTTCTATTGGCGTCTCATCAATCCTATGAAGTTGTAGGACAAGAGGACGTCTGGTAACAATTCCTACATATAATAGTTTCAAATTATTTCTAGAGTTCAAAGGATTTTATAAGTTAATGAAAATCTTAAATTATATATACTACAACCATGTTGTAACATTAGAAAAAATGTGGAAGCATTATTACCAGATCCACGAGGCAAAAAGTCCTTTCCAACAACACTCTCCAACACTGAAGATTTCCCAGAGCTCTACAAATCATTAAAGAGATGGGATGATAAATGTACAACATATGAAAGACAAGATGAAATAATAATTAATGTGCAAGAACCCTCTATTGGCATCCTGAGGCCATTTGCCAAATGAATTTTTGTATATCCCTAAATTACCCAAAATACCCTCTTGTAATTGACTCGTGTAACTGACCTGCCTCCTGAAACTCATCAAATTCATATTCACATTCAAATCAAAATTTATATTTTGCAGATTTAACAACACGCACATCGGGTGGGCACATACCACTAGTATATAATTATATGTATATACACATATATCAATATTAGACTATCCAAACAAGGAATAGTGAACAATCACAGAGATTCAAATCACACAACTATGCAGAACTTGAACAAAACTTACATTACATCCAAGGAAATATCTAAAAGAACAAAGAAATTAATTAACGAATCTCTCAGCCATAAGAAGAAATACATTGCAAAAATTAACTACCCAAAAAAATAAATAAATGCAAAGAATAACGGAAAAATAACTGGCACCTCAGCTTGGAGTAGGGATCAAATTGTGGGTATATAACTTTTTGTTATGATGAGGAATCAAAATCATATAAATTAAACGAGATATAGAAAGATATATATATATATATATAGAGAGAGAGAGAGATGGAGATGATCTGGAGATGGGGAACCTGGCCACCGACGACGGCGATGGAAGGAAGGGCGTCCCAGAGAGTGGGCAATGCGCTCTCTTCGCCATGATCGCCGAGCGCTGTGCACGCTCTCTGTAATTTGTTCACCAGTGATATCAAGTTCTCCATTGTCGCTGAATAGGGTTTTCAGAAGCTGATGATTTCCAACTGTAGATCTTCACACAAGAGAGAGAGAGAGAGAGAGAGAGAGAGAGAGATTTCATACCCTGAGCGAACGTTTTAAGTCGAAGAACCGCGTGAGTGACGGTTGATTGGTTCGGTTTTTTAAAAGGGCAAAATACACTTTGCCCCTCTATCTTTGGTTATTTTTTAGATAAATTATATATATATATATATATCGTCCGAGCTTATGCTAAAATACGTTTGTTTTCTATAGTTTTGAAAATTACATCTCGTCTTTTGAAAATTTTAATTTCATAACAGATGGCGTACTTTATTAATAAATCATCAAATTAATTAACTATTTTAAATGATGTCAGAAATTTATTTTAATTAATAATTCAAATAATTTTGTTATTGTAATTGAGAGCAGTTAGAAATTTCATTTTTTAAGTTAATTTTGTTGAATAATTTTTTTTATAAGGGGGTATTTATAATTTTTTAAATCATAGGGTACAATCTATATTTTAAGCAAATCCCAATGGTGTATTTGTAATTTACCCTAAATATAGACCTTAAGGACCAAAGAAAAAAATAAGGATAAATTACAAATACACCCCTTGAGTAGGGGTGGGCGCGGGTCGGTTGTAGCCACGGAACCTCCAATCTGCCATCCATCCGCCAGATTGGCAGATTGGAGAAAATCAATCTGCATTCATCCGCCAATCCGGTGGATGTGGATTGAGCGGATTGGCGGTTTGGCAGATGGATGCGAATCGGTTTGGCGGTTTAAAATTTTATAAATTTTCAATATAATTTAACTTGTGCACTTCCTAAAAAAATAAAAAAATAAAAAAAGAAGAAGAAAATATTACAGTCAATGACTTAAAAAAGTACTACAATCACTGTATACCTCATCCAAAGAAAGAAAGTTTGAAACTTTAGAATATCTTCACAATCATTGTATGCTTCATCCAAATATTACAATCACAGCATGATTTATCTACATAAAGTATTACAATTTGTGATTCTTAAAATATAAAAATAATTCAAACCACCAAAACCATGAACAGAGTAATAGTAGAGATTGTATGTCTCTATCTATATATGTTTTTGAAAACAAAAACCAACCAGCATATATCATATTTTCTATTTATTATTTTTATAGTTAGATTTAAAAACTAAAAAATATAGATAAATAATACGTTTATTTTTTTCAATTCAAAAAATATATTCAAGTTGAAAACTTTTTTTTAACAGAATATTTAAACTCTTTTTCAATTCAAGTTGAAAACTCTTTTTCAATTAAACCAGAATATTTAAACAAATTGAAAATACAAAGTCATATAAATTAGTAGGGGTGCTCGCGGTTTGGCGGTTCGGTTGCGGCCAAAGGAATCTCAAATTCGCCACCCGTCCACCAAATTGGCGGATTGGAGAAAATCAATCCGCAACTGTCCGCTCATCATCACGCATCTGTCCAAAATGCGGCGGATCGGTTCGGTTTGGTCGATTTGGTGGATCGGTACATCCGCTACTCACCCCTATCCTTGAGATTTACTCAAAATACATATTGCCTCTTGTGGTTAATTTACAAATATTTCTTTATCATAATTTTTTATTTAACATAATTAATTTAAAAATGAAATTCCTAATTACTCTGCTATACAATAATAAAATTACTTAAATTATTAATTGAAATAAAATTTTGATATCATTAAAAACTGTTAATTGACTTTATAGTTTATTAATAAAATAGACAATTAGTTATAAAATTAGAAATTTCAAGGTAATTTTTAAAATCACATAGGGTAGAACGTATTTTAAACAAATCTCAGATGATGTATTTGTAATATATCCTTGGTTTTTTATTTTGTCTTTAAAAATTGAGTGTCAGTTCTTATGGTTGATTTCTTTATAACAGTAAGGATAATTATTATAGTATTTTTTTTTACTTATTTTTTACAATGGCTACGTTTTTGTCTTTATATAGTATTATATATCAAATTTCGTTTATAAATTCTAATTGATTGTTTTTAAGTTTTTTAATAAATTCTTTTTATAACATAATTAATGCATTATTTTATTCTATTATTATTTGTAGCAAAGTTGTAACAACCCCGATCCGTGATTAATTGTTAAACCATCATTAAGCATATCTAATAAGTAATTAAGAGAAAATTCTACATTAATTGAATGTATATTGTGTCATTTGTGTTTATATTTGTTTGGTGTAGGAAGATTTGTCTGTATTTCTGTTTCATTATGTGAATTAAAGGCCTTATTGACATTTGATCACGAAATTGACTTGGTTTATGTGTCATTTGGAATTTTTAGACAATTATAGTAGGTTCAATTGAAATTCAATTTGGATTCAAATAATTAGAATAAATTAATCATAATTGATTGACTCTTAACTCAACTTAATTAAGTCTCATTAATCAAGCCTATAAAAGGCACAAGTGATCTCTAGAATATACTTTACACTCTCATTTCATCATTCTTGAAGCTACAAATGTAAGAGAGAGAGAGAGAGATCGATAAGAAAATGGAGAATTGCTTGAAATTTTTAAAGAATAGAAGAAAATTTGAAAGATTAGGCTTTAACACTTGGAAATTCAAGGCTTCAATGTCACGCCCCACATTTTATGACTTGGATTTCTATTACCAAAGCCATTATTATAGATTCATTCTCAGAGATGGCATACAGAAGCTTATTATATTTACAAGGAATACATCAATAAGAATTCTCTCATTTGGATAAAAATGAATGCAACATGAAAGTACTATTAAATACATTGCCCATAGGCTTACATCACTTAAATCAATAGGAAGGGTTTAACCATTTTACATCGATGACATTCTGCCTACACATAAAAGGCCCCATGGCCAATAGGTAAAAAAGATCCATGACCTTGAAACACTTCTCGATATTTACCTGAAAAAGGAATAGCAACGTGGGATGAACATCAAGTCCAATAGGGATCTCAACATGATCTTAAAACAACAGCAACTTACAGATAGCTATGATCATGAATGCTTAATCTCATACTGTATAAATAATGTGACATTTTATAACCAAAGTATACATACTTAATTACTTTTCTCGAAAACGTTCAGTTTATTTAACAACACCAAGGTTTGCTCTTATTACCCATTACCTAATTAAACAATCATTACACGATAACCACATTTTCCCTTGGTGACAAAATAACACATAATATCCATTTTATTTCTCTTTGTTCTTCCTTCTTTTGAAAGTGTGTTTACCAAATCCGATTTCTTCACATTATTCATACCCAAAATACAATCCAAGTCTAACTCCACGCATTCATGAACACATCTACTCAATATATGAGACAACTCAACCTTACTGAATCACAATCACCATAACACATAACACACTTAATATATCGAAGTAATAGTATCAAATCAATCCCACCCTACCTGCCTCAAGCACGGTAAGCCAATAATACATTTTCTCATAGTGAAATGCCAATTTACCAGACACCATCTGGAAGGGAATGATACCTCTGCCAATTTACCAGGCGCTAGCTGTAAGGGAATGGTACCTCTCATTATTAGCGCGGCCAATTCTCCAGGCACTAGCTGGAAGGGAATGGTACCTCTCATTAGCAGCACAACCAATTCTCCAGGTGCTAGCTAGAAGGGAATAGTACCTCTGATTCTCAGTGCATTACACATTATACAACATTCATAGACTATTCGAGTGTACTACAGACACATAACCATTTCAACATTCACAATGTCATCCTCCACCGATGACCAAGGACAAAACCTCTAAGCAAAATGTATTAAATGCACAAAAAAATAATCATTCAATTCTCAAGAGGCATTAGGTCCAACAACATTTATGATGTTCCAAGGGTTTCAACTTTTACCAAGGTTCTTCCTTAATTGTGAAAGAGTCAATTTCCAAACTTAATTTCCAAAATTTCCAATTCACAAAACACCAATTATATATATATATATATATACATACATGCATTTAAAAATAAATGAGACCCCTTTCTTCCATTTCATCCAAAAACTCAACCCATGGACAACAAGGTCATAACCCGCTCAATTTCAACTCAACAAGGGTACTACTCAAAATTCCTTATCTCATGGTTAAATCCCCTTTTTAACAATTAACCAATTATCACTTTGTTATATTCAACTACAATCAACCCAACACAAGTAAATGTTAAAAATCATAAGACCCGATTTAATCACAAATAAATTACCAAGTCATTAATCAAATTCTTTAATTCAAAACATGATTTTCTCACCATTTCAACCATTTTCACCTATCAAGCATTACTACAAAAAAAATAAAATAAAATAAAAAATTAGGGCTTTACTTCTCTCTACCCATAACATGTTAAACCATTTTCCCCCAAATTAACTCAACAACAAGCTATTTCCTAAATCTCAACCTTACACATCAACACTTAGATCCCCCTATATGATTTTCCAAAAAGATCCATAACAACATGGTTTTTATGCAATAGAATATATCACATGTCTATCTATAAGAGAGATATTGAAAAAGATCAAAGAAATCCCTACCTCAAGAGAGAAGAGGATGGCGACGAAACCACGAACTACTTGGATCAATACGAAGCTCTTGACAAGCTCTACACTTAATCTCAAAGGAGCAAGGCAAGGAGATGCTCCTAAATGAGTAGATCTAAAGATCTTTGAGCAAAAAGTGATTTTGGAAAGGGAGAGAGTGACTTACGGCTTGGAGAGGGAAAAAGAGAAGAAAAAGTAAAGAAAATGTTAAGTGAGGGACCTATTTATAGTGCTAAGTCAAAGTAAAATGAAATCCCGCATTACTACAAAAAAAAAAAATAAATAAATAAATAAAAATAAATTAGGGCTTTACTTCTCTCTACCCATAACATGTTAAACCATTTTCCCCCAAATTAACTCAACAACAAGCTATTTCCTAAATCTCAACCTTACACATCAACACTTAGATCCCCCTATATGATTTTCCAAAAAGATCCATAACAACATGGTTTTTATGCAATAGAATATATCACATGTCTATCTATAAGAGAGATATTGAAAAAGATCAAAGAAATCCCTACCTCAAGAGAGAAGAGGATGG